TCTATTTCCTTGGTGTTAGTCATGATCTCTCCCCTTTCATTCATAATTTTATTAAATTGGACAGCTATATACAGAAGAATGAAACTTGACCATTCTCTTACACCATACACAAAGATAAACTCAAAATGGATGAAAGACCTCAATGTGAGACAGGAATCCATCAAAATCCTAGAGGAGAACATAGGCAGTAACCTCTTTGACATCAGCCACAGCAACTTCTTTCAAGACACGTCTCCAAAACCAAGGAAAACAAAAGTGAAAATGAGCTTTTGGGACTTCATCAAGATAAAAAGCTCTGCACATCAAAGGAAACAGTCAACAAAACAAAGAGACAACCCATGGAATGGGAGAAGAAATTTGCAAATGACACTACAGATAAAGGGTTGATATCCAAGACCTATAAAGAACTTCTCAAACTCAACACCCAAAAAACAAATAATCAAGTCAAAAAATGGGCAGAAGACTTGAACAGACACTTCTCCAAAGAAGACATACAAATGATGAAAAAATGTTCATCATCACTAGCAATCAGGGAAATTCAAATCAAAACAACATTGAGATACCACCTTACACCAGTTAGAATGGCAAAAATTGACAAGGCAAGAAACAACAAATTTTGGAGAGGTTGTGGAGAAAGGGGAACCCTCTTACACTGCTGGTGAGAATGCCAGTTGGTACAGCCACTTTGGAAAATAGTGTGAAGGTTCCTAAAAAGTTAAAAATAGAGCTACCCTATGACCCAGCAATTGCACTTCTGGGTATTTACCCCAAAGACACAGATGTAGTAAAAAGAAGGGCCACATGCACCCTAATGTTCATAGCAGCAATGTCCACAATAGCCAAACTATGGAAAGAGCTGAGATGCACTTCAACAGATGAATAGATAAAGAAGATGTGGTCCATATATGCAATGGAATATTACTCAGCCATCAGAAAGGATGAATACCCAACTTTTACATCAACATGGATGGGACTGGAGATTATGCTAAGTGAAATAAGTTAAGCAGAGAAAGTAAATTATCATATGGTTTCACTTATTTGTGGAACATAAGGAAAAGGAAGGGAAAAATAAAGGGGGGCAATCTGAGGGGGAGACAAACCATGAGAGACTATGGACTCTGAGAAACTGAGGGTTTTAGAGGGGAGGGGGGTGGGGGGATGGGTCAGCCTGGTGATGGGTATTAAGGAGGGCATGTATTGCATGGAGCACTGGTTGTTATATGCAAACAATGAATCATGGAACATTACATCAAAAACTACCGATATACTATATGGTGACTAACATAACATAATAAAAAAAATAAAATAAAACTCAAACATATAAAAAAATAAAAACAAATACGTTGGAAAGCTTGGAGTGATTGTTAAAGAATTAAATGATTGAAATTAAGATTTGGAGGTGTTAAAAGTAATGATGAGGTCTAGGGTTTAGCTATGAAAGTAGCTGAGGGGGATTGGTGGAAGATATCTCAAGTAAAGAGGTCAGTTGTTGAATGGATCGTCTGCCTAATTGTTGAAGTCACCAAGAATGATAACAGCAATAGTGACAGAGATAGACTGTAAGCCAAGTCCTAAAATCTTCAGTGAGCTGTATGACTGAAAGATCATGGAACGAGATTGTAAGAATGAAGAGAAGGTAGTTTTGTCTCATGGCACATGCTTCAAAACATTTGGGGTTTGAGAGAGATTGAAAAGAAAACACCTGAGAAAACAATAAGAATAAGAAGGGTACCAATCATGATTTCTCAGGTCCCTATATAGTATGGGCACTGTGAAGTAAAAGTAGGTACAGCTTGAGAGGGCTTCAAGAAAATAGTTGGAATCTACTGTCCTTGACCTTTTTTAAGACCATAAGATAAAAGGCAGAATCCGGTTTTAGACAGATCATTAAATGTGAGTGTTTGGTGGAGACACTCAGGTTGTGGAAGATTATGCCAGAGACAGAACATAAATGGCAGAGAGCAGAGCAGAAGGATTTAGATCTTTGAGAGATGCAGATCCTTATATACGGAGGTATTTCTGTGTGTTCTTTGATGACCTAGGTTCTTGGACTTCTGGAGGAGATTGAATGAAGCACACTGGCACTAGTCCCAGTGGTTTCTTAGGGAAATGTGGGTCACCTATTCCATTTACAACTTTTTTCTTGGTTACGAAGAGAAGTGGGCAGTGTCTGATGATGAGAGTGGTGGTCTATGATAGGCCCATACAAATCTGGAAAGTTCCTTAACTCCAGCTAAGGGCAGTATTACAGTATGTTGAGCTACCCACTTTGTTCATTTCTTTCCAGAATTTTCTTTGATATCCTGGTATGTTTATTCTATTGCATGTAATGTAATATTATATTGCAAAATTTCCCCAAAATCCATCTGGTTTTTTGATGTTAATTCTTAAGATTGATTTGGAGCTTAGTAGAAAAATATCAGAATCCTCCTCTTCCTTCCACCAAAAATTAATTCTCTCCCTCTTCTGAATTTCTCAAAACCCTTTACTTGAATCTCTCTTGTAACATATTATCGTAATTATTTTTATGAATTTCTCATATTTCTCATTATACAATGTTCTATTATACTATAGTGCCCAACACTGTAGCTTGCATATAGTGGGTCTTAAATAAATATATGTGGGTACCTGAATTTAAAAAAGCAATGAACAAGGGCACCTAGGTGGCTAAGTTGGCTAAGTGTCCAACTCTGGATCTTTGCTCAGGTCATGACCTCAGGGTCCTGGTTGAGTCCCACATGGGTTCTGCACTCAGGGGGCAGTCTGCTTGAGATCCTCTCCCTCTCCCTCTGTCTCTTCCCCAGCTCACACATGCATGCATGCTCTCTCTCTCTAATAAACACATAAATCTTAAAAAAAAAAAAAAAAAAAGAAATGAACAAGCTGGGAATCAGAAAGCCTGCATTAGAGAATCATTCTGCCTCTCACTGTGTATGTAACCTTGAGCAAGTTATTTAACTTCTCAAATTTGCATCTGTAGGGTGGGAATAATAATGGTCCTATCTACCTACAGTCTCCCTAAGATGCAAGAAGTGTGAGAACTAGATGCAGTATTTGAAAATGCTTTGAGAACTGATTCTAAACAAGCTATTTCAAAACTGACATTTAAAAATATATTATCACTCATTACAAGACAATTTGATAATTTGCAAGAAGTAAAAATTATATGTTTGATTATTTTTTGGCTCAGACAATAATTAGGCTCTCTCATTCTGCTACTGTTAGCATAGAAGTACTGCTGAAGGAAGCAGCCATGAACGGACTGTAGCTTTCAACTCCAAACTTAACAAAAATTTTCTATGGCTTTACACCATACCTGAAATCCCAACACTTACTAATTTATTCCCTGGAGTTAAACATTGTCTTTATTCTTTGAATTCTGTTTTGAAGAAAACAGAGGAATAACATAGTACATGTGGCTTAGATTTGAATCCCAGTTTTGCAATTTAGTGGCTCTATGACTTTCACACTTTCCTAACTTGTAAAATAGATATAGTGATAATATCTTCCTCCTAAAATCATTATAAGGACAAAATAAGTTTATGTATAAGATATGTTTTCAAGTATTTCAATATGGTATCTGGCCAATGCCAATTTGTCAATAAATTTTAGGTATTTTTTAAGTTATAAAATCTCTAATAACATAGAGATGATGATAGATGAAATAAAAGAACAAAGATGTAATATAGAGAATCAACAAATCTGAAGATTTGTCTTGGAAAAAGGTTAATAAAATAACCAAACCTATGGGGAAATTGATCAAGAAAAAATAGAGGAAGAACACACAATAAATGCTAGAAATTAAAGAGGGATATAACTGAAGATACAGCATAGATTAAAATTTAATAAGAGAATATTGTTAATAGTTAATGCCAATAAATTTGAAAACTTAGACAAAATAGATACATTTCTAGAAAAGAATTATAAATTACCAAACTTTCTACCAAAAAGAGACAGAAAGTTAGAATATTCCTTTAACTATTAAAGAAATTGAATCAGTAATTTCAAATCTTCTCATAACAGGTCCAGATAATTTTATAAATGAGTTATACCAAAGTTTCAGGGAATAGATAATGCCTGTCTTATTCAACCTGGAGAATAAAGAGGTAATACTCCCCCAACTCATTTTGCAAGATAACTATAACTTTGACATCAGAACCAACAACAGGAAGATGAGAAAATAAAATTGCAGAATAATTCATTAATAAACATAGAATCAGTAATCTTACCTGAACCAAAAAGTAGGAAACCAAGTCCATCAAAACAGAAAAATGTGTACAAAATATATGTTTTTGCACAGGTAAAGGATTGGAACATTATGTCTATTGATATAATTTAAAAAATTAATATATTTAAAGAAGGAAAATCATATGCTCATCTTAATAGATGCAGATAGGGCGCCTGGGTGGCTCAGTTGGTTAGGCGACTGCCTTCGGCTCATGTCATGATCCTGGCGTCCTGGGATCGAGTCCCACATCAGGCTTCCTGCTCGGCAGGGAGTCTGCTTCTCCCTCTGACCCTCTTCCCTCTCGTGCTTTCTATCTCTCATTCTCTCCCTCTCTCAAATAAATAAATAAAATCTTTAGAAAAAAAAATAGATGCAGATAAAGCAGTGGATAAAATTTGACAACCTTAGCAAAATAGGAATTAAAGGATGCTTCCTTAACTTGATACTGTGTGTCTAATAGAAACATATAGGAAGCATTGTGGTAATGGTAAAAAATTAAAAATGTTTCATGTAAATTCAGGAATAAAGAGAGGGTACCTACTATTACTACTTTTATTTATTTTTTCTTTTTTTAAATTTTATTTTTTAAATTATTTTTTATATTGTTTATATATATAAAAACATATATATATAATTTTTTTAAATTTTATTGTCTTAGTCACCATACATTACATCATTAGTTTTTTGGGGTTTTTTAATGTTATTATGTCGTGTTAATCACTATACATTACATCATTAGTTTTTGATGTAGTGTTCCATGATTCATTGTTGGTGGTTCCACTGGGGATCGAACCCAGGACCTTCTGCATGTAAAGCAGAGGTGATAACCACTACACTATGGAACCACTACTTTTAATCAAGAATGTACTAGAGATCTAGCTGGAATGGTAGGCAAGAGAAATGAAGATGTAATTGCATAGAAAGGAAGTGTATTAGTCTGCTCAGGCGGCTGTAACAAAATATTTGTGTGCCCTAGAGAAATTTTCATGTGTGTGCACCGGGAGTCAGGTAAGAGAATGTTCACAGAAGCACTGCTCATGTCAGCAAAGAAACCAGACAGAGCACGATGTTCATAAATGGTAGAATGGGAAGTATATTGGGAGGAAGTCATAACATAAAATGCTCTACTTGTTCAACCACATTCATAATATATGCTACACAGATTGGCATGAATGAAACTCAAAATATTATTTTCTTTAAAGATTTTATTTATGTGTTTGAAAGAGAGAGCGCGAGCTAGAGAGCAGAAGCATAAGGAGCAGGAGAGGGAAAGGGAGAAGCAGGCTTTCCACTGAGCAAGGAGCCTGATGCGGAGCTTGAGCCCAGGACCCTGGGATCATGACCTGAGCCGAAGGCAGCCGCTTAACCAACTGAGCCACCCAGGCACCCCAAAAATATTATTGAATGGAAAAAGCAAGGAGCAGGCAACCACATTATTTATGTAAACTCTTAAAACATATAAATGTAGCAATGCTTGTTCAGGGATACTTGTATATGTACAACAAAATGAGAGAGAATTATAAACAGGAAGAATGCATAAGAATTCAACTGGGACATGTCAAGAGTATAGAGGGATTTCTATTTTTGTTGTTGAAGGTACAGAGAAATTTCTATTTTTTTCTTTTATTTCTTAAGCTGCATGCTAGTACATGGGTATTGACTTTTTTGCTATGTATTATATACATATATAGACACACGGAATGTATATGTAAATATATATTATGTTCATTCACATATTTATATCCATTATATTCACTGTTTAGTACATATGTCCTATTTCATAGTAAAACTACAAAGAAAGAAAGAAAAAAGTGAAGGTTCCAGCTAGCATAGAAAAGGTTTCCAATATAAGCTATGGCAGTTGATTCTCAGGCTCTATTTCTTCCCCAAGCCTAGAAGTCACCTTACCTTATGGCTTTATGCTAAAGTAATTCCAAAAAGCCTGTGGCTGGGAATATACACACTTATATGGGTCACAAAGACACACACACAAACACACACACAAACATAGAGTGCAGCCACAATTGTCGCAACCATCTTTCCCCCCTCTAGCTCCACTGCTGAGACTAGCAAATTAGCAGGCCTCCATCACGGTTGGAAGAACAAAGCTGGCCAAAATGCTGGACCATCTAGATTTCCTTCTAGACCTGAAGGAGGGGAGGGCTTGGGTACTGGGAGGGGAAACTTGGCAGAGCCTAGGGGGTTTTCATGCAGAAGGGAGCTGTTTGAAGAGCCCTGGGGAATGCTGGCCTGTGGGGAAGGCATGTGTGGGGTTGACCTTCTGACCAGTATCAGGCGTATCAAATGCACTCACCATTCTGAGATTCCTTTTTCCCTTTGACGTTGCTAAAAATGGAATCAGCTGCAAACAGTATGTGACTGTGTATGGTAATTTGGGTAAAGCTTGTCAAGTGTAACATTTTGCTGGAAACATGGTATGGTCGGGGATCAAAATATTATTTTTAAGATGAAATGGAGTAGCATTCTGGCAAGCCAGTGCAACCTCAGAAGATTACCCGACCCATTCAAAATGTTGCTTTCTCCCAGGATACCTCTCCAAACCCTGGCAGTCGCTAGGCAGGCCTTTCCAGTAGCTTGCCATGCTGGAGGTAAAAATCAGCGTAGAGTCCCAGGAGACTCCCTCTTAGTCCTAGAGCAGAGTCCAGTGAAATTCAGGAGAACTGGGTAGATTTTTAGCGTGATTACAGCTTGTGAAGTCACCATGTACTTTCTATAATTTTTTCCTGTGAATTGAGACAAGTTACATTTAGACCTTTTACAAAAACATAATTTTTGACATGATATGTCTGCCTTTGGTTCACAATAAGTCTATCTCTGCTAACAAATACACTTAACTTTAGATGTTTTAAATTATAGGAAGTGGAAAACCCAGGAGTACTGGTGATCAGATGTAATAAATTTGTATTAACTCTAAGAACGGAGAATCTTTAAAGAAAGAAGAGCTCCTTGGGTTTTCTCCTAATCATTCAGGTACGTCACCAGATGTAATAAAATCATACCACATTGTGTTTTATTTTGTTGCAATGAATTCTGACCTTGATGGGCATGCCATGATGTGCCTAAGTAATAGAATTGGCTTAAGTAGAGTCTATATTTAATGCCAACCTGGTAAGTGGTTAGCATGGCTCGAATCTCAAGTTGTCTTAATGGTCCAGGCTGTTTGGGCTGCTATAACAAAATATCATAGACTGGGTAGCTTATAAGCCACATAAACCTATTTCTCACAGTTCTGAAGGCTGGAAGTCCAAGCTCAGTGTGCCAGCATGGTTGAGTGAAGGCCCTCTTCTGGGTGGCAGACCTCATTTACTGTATGTATCCTTACATGGTGGAAGAGAGGCAAGCTAGCTTTCTGGAGGCTCTTTTATGAGAACGCTAGTCCCACGCACGAGAGCTCCCCTCTGACCGAATCATCTCCGCAGATGCCCCACCTTCTAACACCATCACCTTGGGCATTAGGGTTCCAACATGAACTTTAGAGGGACACGAACATTCAGACCATAGCCCTTGGGTTACTCCCCAGATGCGTGGTACAAATTCAGGAATATTTGAAAAGTAAGGAAAAGGGGAAAGAAAAGGTAGCAGGAAAAAAATACCTACATTCATACGTTGTATGTATGTATTACTGATATGTGACCATAAAAGGAGAGGAAGGAGAAAGAAGAGAAGGAAGAAAGACAGAAGGAAAGAGAAGACTAAGACAAAGTGAGGAAAGGAGAGTATGAAGAGGAAAAAAAGCAGCTGAAAGGATCAGGACAGGAAGAAAAGGAGGTGAAACACCTATTTAACACTGTGAACTGAGCAAGTTCCCACAAGCTCCAGGAGGCTCCCAGCAACACCACCTCCTCCCCTTGGTAGAAGCAGCAAATCAAAGGTTTCACTGCAGAGTATTTTTACTTTTCTTCCCCCAAGAGAAAGCGCTCTATTAGATTAACAAGTAATTCAAGCTTGGAGCCTGCCGTAACTAGTCTAATTACCATCTAGTTCCCAGCAAGTGAGGCGAAGGTACTCTATCCTGAGCCCATATGCTCCTGCCTTACTGTCTGATCTGTTCAGCGATGCTCAGACTGACACAAAATAGATGGCTCACAGTCTTGAGGTTTGCCAAAACAGAACTTAATCTAGAAGGTATTTTTTCCCACTGAGCTTTGTTTATTTAACTTAAACACATGCACGTGTGTACACACACACACAGAGTCCTTGAGATTAAGGCTTTTCAAGTAATTAAGCAGAGGCATGTTGTGCATCATTGTGCCTTTCCGTAGCACAATGACATACCAGTGTTTTCAGGCCCATGGTGATGTCCTCTCAATGATCTCCGTGATAACAGGACCATCCCTCCACATAATCGCTGGCTAGTTGACTTTGGTGCCCCATCTTTTCTTGTGTTGACAGCCTTGAAAGACAATGTCACTCTTTCTTCTGGTTCTGAGAACACTGAGATAGGGAGTTTGTTATTTATTTGTTTAGAAAAAAAAAGAAGAGCTCATTTCAAAAGCACACGGTGAAGGGGGGCTGGGCTGTACCAGCTAAATCCTACTTTTGTATTTGATGAGCTTTACTGAGGATTTGCATACTCAAAAAGGGAAATTGAGAGACACTCACTCTGCTTCGTGTTATTTCATATCCTATCACTGCCCAGTTTGAACTTCTGGAATGTTCCTCTTAATTGTTAAAGTTTTGTGATCCCCATAGGGATACAGCTTTAGCAAGGTCACCAAAATGAAATGGTGGGAGATAGATGATGTCCTTTACAAATGACATTGGAGAAGAGAAAAAAAAATCATAGTTTCATAGCTAAAAATCTAACATTTGCTTAATGTTAAACTACTCATTATTAGATTATTAAAACATTCTTAGGGGGTTATGAAAGGAGATCACACAGGGTTACCTGCAGAGTATAGCTCTATGTCTCTCATACTTACATGGTGCCGATCACTGTACTACACAGCTCAACACATTATCTCTTTTAGTCTTCACCACAAACCCCAGAGGCAAAGATCATTATCCCCATTTTACAGATGAATAACACGAAGCTTAAAAAGTAAAGTGACTTGCCAGGGTCATTGGCTAGTAAGTGGAAGAGCAGGGATTCAAACCCGGGCTGATGGACTCTAAAACAAGGACTTCTCCTCTCCTCTGCCTAACCTGTCCTGGATTAGAGTGTCTGGGTTCAAATCCTGGCTCAACTGTAGCGTATGCATGTGTTACTGACGTATGACCATGAGCTGGTCTCTCAACCTCTTTGTCATAAAATGCAAATAATAATAGAAGCATAAAGTTGTGAGAATTAGATGAAATGACACAAGTGCTTCGAACAGTGCACTTAAACCATGTGTATGGTAAGTGCCCATAATGTAGCTATTGTTAAAAATGTTTGTAATTAATATATATAATCATCCTTCATTGCATGGTGTTTGTTCCTCTATCCTGCTTCTAACAGATCTATTGTACATGTGCCTTTTATTGAAAGCTCACTCAAATCTGTTTTGGAAGCAAAATGGGTATAAGTTACATGTGAATTAATTTCAAATTTTGTTCCACCAAAGAGCCTGTTGCAGAAATATTTCCCCATCCCCTTCCAGAGGACCTGAGCAGGAACTGTCCATCTACATGAGGACACCATCTGGTGGCCCTGAGATGGTGCCCTCACTACATCCCATCACCAGGAAGACGGGCAACAAATGATTATTGAAAATAAAATTTTAGTTGGAAACTTCAGGAATGGTTCTATTTTCACATATGGACACAGCCTAACTGGAACTGGGGCGATCTCTTTTTGGTTTCTTTTCAAGGTCTTGAGAGGAGCTCTGAAAAACATCTCAGG